TGCCCGGAGCCTGCAAGTGCCTCCCCCATTGTCCAGTTCCCATCCAATGGAAACTGCTTGGCTTCTTCCAGGAGCAGCATGGAGGCAGGACAGCCTATCTGAGGATCCCCATCAACTAGCAGAGGCTGCAGGATGCACCATTGACAGGCTGGTAACCGCTGCTGTAGGCCCCCACAAGCTGCTGGGGAGAACATCCCCCTCCCTCCCGCAACCAAGAGCTCCTAATAGATCCCTAAGAGGTACCACAAGATCAGGGAGTGGTAACTCCAGCACTGGCTTCCTCTTTGTCCTCAACAGATGAGACCCTCCCATGCTCCCTCTCCTGGCGTCGCTGTTATGTTTATAAGAAGCACACAGGATCTTTTTCAGGGGAAAAGGCAATACACCGTATTTATTGAAAATACAACATGAATAGCAGCATAAGTATTCACACCGTGCGCACACACGTCCAGCAGATGTTCTTACAGTTACCAGTCCATTGTGACACTAGTTAAACTAGAGGCCGATTGTATTGAACATGAGTGAGGAGCTAGGTTCTGTCAGTCATGATCTGAAGCACCGAGGCAGGACTGAACCATGACCAAAAGCACCCTGTTTTATATTTGTGATTTCCCATTTGAGTCTGTGGGCTTCGCAATGGTATGCTGCAATCATTACTCCTTAAATGGTGTTAATCTCAGTTTTCCACAGTTAACCTTTGATGATGATTGTCATTATCTCTTGTTTGTGTCTCCCTCTTGGGGGGAGGGGCCTCCCTGTCTCCAGGGTTTGTGAAATCTTCTCATTTAATTCTAGCATCAAGCACTCCTGGTTGTCTTCAAGGTTCTCACTTCTTTACCATCTGGACATCCGTGGTGGTTTTCACACTTATCCTTAACTACGCGCACATCCTCCACTTTCACCAAACAATTTACACAGCATTTCCTGTTAAACAATTTTGCAGAGTTGTAGATAGGAATACATTTTAGAGAGGGATTATAGAGTTTAGCTGAAGGACACAATTTAGTTTGCACACTAGACAACTTAATGCTAATTAATGGTAATGGGAAGCAAGACCTTATAGAAAATACTGATCATGAAAGGTAGCTGACAGTCAAATAGCAACATACAGAACTTAGCAGCAAATCATTCTATGGGGCTTGTTATCATTATACTTATACTAGCATTACCCGTCCTGTTGTGACGGTAGACATACACTCACGGTGGCCTGACGCAGAGGGCAAAAGCAGACCTGGCTGCCATCTTGTCTGTGAAGGACCGGCTGCTGCCATGGCTGTGTCCCTCATGCTCCGCTCCCACCTCGTGCCGTCCATGTGTGCCGTGCACTCAGACCTGCCAGAGAGTGCCGTGGGGCCGCTGGAGTCTGTCATCCAGGTGCCAGCAGGCAAGATCCTGGCCAGCCTGCCCGGATCCGCTGGCTAGACTCCCTATGCTCCTGACGAGGCGTGGCCTCCATTCCACACTTGGCCCATGGACCACTAATTTATTCCCTGCTTGGGATCAGCCTGGGTTGGGGGAGGGGGCTAGGGAGGGCTGAGCTACTCTCCTGTCCCTGACGGGACTGGGCAAACCTGAGCCAGCATTGTCCCCAGCTGCAAGGGAAGGTGTAGCTGGGGGCCTGGGAGCTGCCCTATGCTGGTGGGGGAAGGGGGCTCTGGGAGCTGCCTTGGCTGGGGGGGGGGGGGGGTCACTGGGAGCTATCTTGGCTTGGTGGGGAGCTGCTCTGGTTGGGGAGGGGATGGGAAGCTAGCTGGGACAGGGAGTCTGGTGCTGTCCCGCAGGTGAGGGGCTGAAAGCAGGGAGTGCCATGCCTCCACCACTCCTCAGGATTGGGAGCCCCTGTGTGCCCATGGGGCGGGCCTAGGGCTGCTGTGTACATGCCCAAGGTGGAGCAGCGCCACCCACACACACAACCCCCTCTTCCCTCCCCGCCCCTCGCCCGAGCCAGTCACTGCTTTGCATTGGCTCCACCGTGCTGTTTCCATGGCTACGGAGTCTTTAGATCAGTGTTTCTTAAACTGGGCTCCGTGGAGCCCGTACCCAGGGGCTCCACGAGGCTGACATACTGGAAACATCAGTAAGTGCAGCACGTACAATCAGTGAACCGCTGGGGCTCCGCATACATTTTTACGCATGGAAAGGGCTCCGGAGCCCAAAAAGTTTGAGAACCGCTGCTTTAGATAAACAAAGCACAGCAGCCAGTTAGCAGCTTTGTCAGTGTGGCCCCGTGGCCCATGTTGAGAAACACTGTTCTAGACACACGCCGATCACTGGGTCTCCTGGACCATGACAAAGAAATCAACGTTCGCACCAGTCAAAGGATAGAGCTGACTGAGGCAATACTTGACTCAACCCACTCCAGGCGTTTCTGGCTCTAGACAGATTCCAAGCCCTAGTAGGCTTCCATCAAGAGGCGTCCATGTATCTTCTGACTATGGCCAGGATCTGTCTGCACCTTTTGGGGCACATGTCAGCGTGCATGTATTTCATCTGCCATGCCAAGCTCACTTCACATGTGGCCACTCTAGCTGATGCTGACATTAGCATACTCGCAATCCAGAGACCACCTGGACAAGGTGTTTATGATCCCCTCACAAATACTTACTGCTTGCAGTGGTGGACCATGCTGGAGAACATCCTGGCGGGGGAGTCCCATTCTCCACCCCAGCCCCCTCTCTCGAATATGTGTCCGGTGCCTTGGACCTGGGCTGAGGCTCACACCTAGGCAAGCTCTGGACTCAGGGGTTATGGACCCCAGAGGAAGCAAGTTTGCACATAAATGTTAGGGAGCTCAGAGTGGTACATCTGGAGTATGGGGTTTTACCATGTTACATGTCGGGCAAAGTGGTGAGAGTCCTCACGGACAACACACCCGCAATGTTTTATATAAATAGTTAAGGGGGAGCATACTCCACCACACTGTGACAGAAGGTGCTCCTTCTCTGGGACTTCTGCATCAGCCACGACATCCACCTGAAGACAACTCACCTTCTGGGGATCAGCTATGCTCCAGCAGATCTTCTCAGCAGGGACTTCTCTTTTCACCATGAGTGATTGCTCCATTAGGAAGTGGCCTCTGCAGTCTTCCATAAGTGGGGGATTCCCTAAATAGACCTCTTTGACAGTAGGCAGAACTGGAAATGCCACTGTTTCTGCTCCTGGTCCAGCCTGGGCAGGTGCTCCCTTTCGGACACTTTCCTCCTGTCGTGGTCAGAGTGCCTGCTGTATGCGTTCCCACCAATCCCTCTCAGTAGGGTCTTCATTCAGATCAAATGGGACAAGGCCCATATCCTCCAGAGTGCCCCAGCCTGGCCTCACCAACATTGATTCAGGACATTATTGGACCTGGAGATTTCTCCTCTCCCCTTTCCCTTCAGCCCCTACCCATCAGTGTGGATCTGTTGCCTTCAGGGCTGGCTCCTTCATTCTCATCTCACAAACCTGCACCTCATGGGACTGATGCTGCATGGCTGAGCGAGGCTGAAGGTACCTGGTCAAAGGTCCTTGAAACCTTCCTTGAGGCTGTCCTACGCAAAGTGGGCAAGATTCTTCCACTGTGGGGTGGAGCAGGATATCTCTCTGAAAAGCCGTCCAGTGCAGTTGGTTCTTGACAACCTGCCAAGGCCTGGTACATGCCTTTTATTAAGGTGCATCTTGTGGCGATTTTGGCAGTCCAGAGGCAATCAAGTGTTTCAGTAGGACATGATGGTGCATTCCTGTGGGGTATTGAACACCTCTGTCTGTCGGTGCTGGCTATGTTCCTCAGTTGGATCTTAACTTAGTGCTCTCCTGACTCATGAGGCCTCCATTCCAGTCACTTGAAGCCTGCTCTCTCTCCCATTTGGCCTGGAAACTGGCGTTTCTGGTTGCTGTGACTTTGTTGAGATGGGTTTTTGAAATCTTAACTTCTGAGCCCCTGTACACTGTTTTCTTCAAGGACAAGGTCTGTCTACAGCCAAAGGTCATCTCCTCCTTCCACGTGAACCAGGACATCATCTTGTCTGCCTCAGACTGTACAAGAGGGAAGAGGCTGCATGCTTTTACGTGGAATGCACTAAGTTGTTCCGCAAGTCAACTTTTCATTGCTACAGCTGATAGGATGAAGAGTATGCAATGTCCACTCAGAAGCTGGCCGACAGGTTTATGTTGTGTATCCGGACCTGCTACCACCTCACCCAGGCCCCCCTGCTGCAGATTGGGGAGACCATTCAGCCAGAGCTCAAGCATCGTCATCGTCCTACCTCATGTATGTGCCGATCTCAGAAAGCTGTAGAGTTGTGATGTGGTCCTCGGTCTATGTGTTCATGGCCCACTATGCCCTCATACAGCAGGCTAAAGATGATTCTGGTAAGACAGGGCCATGCTGCAGGCTATGAGACCATGAACTTGTACCCGCATTCATGTTAGGTAACAGTTACCTAATGTAAGCTTAGGACAAGACTCAGTGGGCTTAAATTTCAGCAAGGGAGGTTTAGATTGGACATTAGGAAAAACATCCTAACTGTCAGGATGGTTAAACACTGGGAGAAATTGCCTAGGGAGGTTGTGGAATCTCCATCACTGGAGATATTTAAGATATCCCCTATGGATGCTTCTAAGGGAAAAGCTTCCAAAACCAGTGCATGTGGCGAGCACACACAGCTAATGTAGAATGGACATGAGCAACACATCTTGGAGAACACCAGTTACAAAAAAGGTAACTGTCTTTTCTATTACACTATGATATATTGAATATAAATCGTGTGAAATATTTAGACAAGAGGTTTAGATGTGTCAACTGGAACATCTCTCTTGGTCTGAGTGAGAGTGTGCAGATTTACACCAGAGGAGGACCTTTGTTTATTTTGTTAGTTATAAACATATCCACAATGGAATAATAAATGAATTCCAACAGGATAGTTTACTGCTTGATTCTTGGCCTGTTTTCTGGCTGTTCAGGATTTTCAAAGATGCTGTATCTGCTCTGGACATGTTTGACATGTTTACGTTTCCCTTTACAGGCTCGAGATGACATTCTGAATGGCTCCCATCCGGTCTCCTTTGAGAAGGCTTGCGAGTTTGGAGGCTTTCAAGCACAAATCCAGTTTGGACCTCATGTAGAGCACAAACACAAACCTGGATTTTTAGAGTAAAAATCTTCTGCTAATTTCTAATTTTGAGTGTCATTCTGTCTATGCAGTGATGCATAAAAGAGTGGATGTATTCTGTTTTTCTGTCCTTGATGATTGGTCAGTGCTGTGATGATTTGGGACCTTTGGGGTGCCAACTATGGTGCTGAGATACCACTGAGTCAGCCTATTCAACCAGTGTTGGCCCCCAAAGTCTCCTCCAGCAAAGCTTACAGGCAGGATTACCCCCAGCTGCAGAAGTACAGACATTGAAATCAGCTCTGGGAAGACTCAGTTTAAGGGACTTGGCCCAGCATCCAGATGTTCATCCTCCTTGGGGTATAAACCCAAAATTATATGAAGTTCACCTCCTTCCTCAATGCACAGGAAGGTATGCACAGCCTCCTGCTTCCCACCTCCTCCTCCGCCCCACACCCCTGTTAGAAATTACATAAACTGGTTATACACTTGAACCTCTTTAATCTGGCAGCCTTGGGAAATAGGCTATGCCAGATTATGGAATTTTCCAAACCATGGGTGTTCACCATAATGAAAGGTAAACAAGCCTATTACTAAACCATGTATAAACCATTATAGAGTACTGTACATGTATAATATGTCATAAAATAAGTCCTTAATGCACTGAATTTAAACTGTTATTGAGGCTTGGGTTGCAGGGACTGAGGGGGAAGTAGGATGCAGGAGTGTGTTGGGATTGAGAGAGAGGGATCTGGGGGGGAGTCATGCAGCTGTTCCCAGATCACAGATATCTGGATTACGGATGTTCAAGTATATTCTAAACCAGAGAAGCACACAATCTAATATAGATTAACTAAAGAAAATGGTTACATTTTATAATTTCTTACCCTGGATATTCACAGGCCAGAGATTTTTTTTAGCCTGGGTCCAGCAGTTCAGTTAGGGTGTGTCTAGACAACAGGGTTTTGTTGACAAAAATGGGCTTTTGTTGATAAAACTATACCTGAGTCTACACTACCGCCGCGTTCTGTCGACAGTAAGTCGACAGAACGTGGCAGTTTTGTCATCAGCGGTAAACCTCATTCTACAAGGAATAACGCCTTTTTTCGATAGTACTCTGTTGAAAAAAGGTGCTATTGCATGCAAACTGCTTTTTCGAAAGAGAGCTTCTAGACTCTCTTTTGAAAAAGTGGCTTGCTTTGTCAACAGTTAGACTGCTTTGTAGTCTAGATGCTCTTTTTCAACAGAGGCTTTGTCGACAGTGTCTGTCGACAAAGCCTCTGTCGAAAAAGTTGTGCAGTCTAGATGTACCCTTACAGTCCTTTTGTTTCCAAGTGTTTTCAAGTACCTCTTTGGAGTGGGGAGGCAGAGGTGAAGCCAGCTGAAGACAATTATTGTTCTCCTCCCCTGCCTTATATAGAATTTCAATAAAGTGGGAAACTTTTCATGGATTCCTCCCCTCCCCCCCTTTGTGAAAGGTTCAGCTGTCCAATATGTGGATTAGTATCAGGTGACCAGGTCACCTGACTTTACCTCATCCAGGAGTCAGTAACAGAGTGGAGTGTTTCCTGGACGGCCAAGCCTATTCACAGTTCAGTGTTCTAGTAGATGGCCCATCACCTCTGTCAGGCTTTTCCATTGTAGTACCTAAAATGTTAGCAGTGGGAGTGATCCAAAGCAGCAAGTATGAAATACCCATAAAGGCCAATATTTCTTAAATTTGGGAACAAAAATGACCCATGCATATAAATGGGATAATCATATTCAGTAAATCATAATCTTTCCAATGATACCTTACATGAGCCATCTTGTATAAAATGTATCTGTATGTCATATTAATATCAAGCATATTTTCATAAAGCGTCTGGAATACCACTCAGAAGTGCCATTCATTAAATCATTACCTTAGTGATGTTTATATTTGATTGAAGATATTCAAAGGAATCTATTAAAAATAGTCATGTGCTTTGGAACTTTTTATACTTCAGCCTTGATTGTCTAGAACTCTTATAACAGTTCCATAAATCAACAGATATATAATGCTCAGTTATGCAGACAAATCACAGAAGCAAGCATTCTTCGGTTCCAATTAATTTGGATAATCAAACTTCTCGTGTACTGTCTATATTTAGTCTCTCTACTGACTGGTCAGTGACTCTTTACTGAGCCTTGGTCTACACTAAGGAGTTATTATGGAATAACTGTCCTTATTTTGAAATAACAAGCGGAGCATCCACGCTACCGAGCCTATTGTTTTGAAATAATGAGCTGGTTATTTCGAAATAACAACTGCTGCTTTCCATGAGGAATAACACTTATTTTGAAATTGTTATTTCGAAATAGCGGTAATGTGGATGCTCCACTGCTGTTATTTAGAAATAACTACTCCCCAGAGTCATTCATAGTAATTACTCCCCAGTGCTTCCTGGGGCTCTAAGTCGAGGTAGCATGTTCACTTTAAGGGAGCTGCCTTGCACTAATTTAGAGGCTTCCCTGTAGTGTGGACACATTATTTTGAAATAGTGGTTTTGGGTGTTGTTATTTTGGAAAAATTTCCTAGCATAGACATGCCCTTAGGGAGCTACAGATGTCTCAGAAAACGCTATATGTGATGGGCTTAATTTATGCCTGGTCCTCATTACTTGTTACAGAGACTGATGGCATAACAGTTACATAACACCATCTTGATTTCTTTATGGTTTCCCATTGTCTTCGTATACCCCACCTGATGTGATGTGATGTAGTGGATAGCTGTAGAAGCATTAAGGTAACACTAAGTGAAGTGACTCCTTTTTAAAAGCATTATTCCTTCCCTTCTTTTTTTAAGAAATTAGTTTTCCCATCACAGCAAAGTTTCCCACATTAGAGCATATTTAGCTTCTCTCAAAGTGCTGTACAATGTCAACAGACTTCAGCTGCTGCTAACACATCCAGACTTAGTCTTTGCAAGTTCATTCCAAAGGGGGAAAAAAAGGTTATAACCAGCAGCTCTCTGTTTGTTGGACACAAACAACAGAATGTGGATTTCCACTGTGTGGCTGCAGCAAACTTATTTTAACTCATTCAACAACTAAAGGCATTGCAGAGTAAGGACTGGGTTTACTTGTTCCTATCTCAGCACAGTAGGCTGGACTTGATGACTTCTCAAGGTCTCTTCCAACCCTAAGTTTCTAGGATTGTGTGATCCTACCTTTGATAAACAATAGATAAATAATTGAACTTTACAGGGGGAGAGGAGAGTTTTCCTCTAGCGGAGTACAGATGCAACTCAGTTTAAAAATAGCCTGTTGTCTCTACGGTTTTTTATTATAAATGGTTTTATTTAAATTGGCCATAATTGAGGCAGACTAGTGAGACATTTTATGACATTGATACGAAGAATATATATTCACTGTACAGGTGCCAGCCAATTATCTTTGTAAAATTCAGTTAATGTTCTTATACCAACTTTTCCAATCATTCTTATATTTTCCACTGAACTATATTTATAGGTTTAATTTAAGTGGGAAAGAATTTAAGCAGCATGTAAATTGCGCATTAAAACTCAATTGAAGTAGGGTTGAGCAGTGTCCATTGACTAACCAGTGTGACCTTAACACAAAACTGGCTTCCATAAGAGAGTCCATCTGTTCATAAAAAAAAATCAATTCAAAACAAATAGGGTTGATTACTTTTCAGCATTTTTTCAAAACAGATTGGTTTAGTTTACTGTATCTAAGTATGTTTATAGAGAGAGCTTCTTAATTTTATCCTTTTTTTGTCATTGATAAATAACTCTTCACGAAAAAAACTGATTTCCGGCATCTTGTTAACACTTAGATACTGGTTGTTGGAATTTCCTTACAGCACATGCCAAAATAAATTTCCATTAATATTAACTGTGAAAGCTCCTGATTAAAGAAATCTTAAAAAGCTGGATGAAGAAATAATTAAGTTTTGTGTGGCATCTGCGCAGGCAGGCTGTGCTTTTAAATTTGAGAAAATAACTATTAGAGAGAAGTTTTAAAGAAGCCCTTTTTTCATTGGTATGTAGGGAAGAAGAGGGTACTAAATAGCTAAATTGACCATCTAGATTTTGTAACCAATGACATAGCTGTCTTAATCCACACTATTTTGTAACAAGCAATAGCTCCCCCTTTGTGATGTCTTCTTTCTTAATGAACATTGGAAAAGTGTGTTTGATGCTCATTAAAAATATCAGATGTTGGCAGCATTTATTTAATATCTGAAGAAAGCAAAGGAGCAAACTTGACCTGGATTAAATTACTTAAAAGCTGCTTGCTATTGCATGCTGTTAGACTGAAATAATAGTTCAGCAAACAAGCAGTTGAGGTTTTGTATGTGGGATGTGATATGTAGGTGGTTTTATTAGCACCATTAAAGGAACTGCTAAGTAAGATTCAATCATACTGCCACAACCTAGATGAACAATATGTATCTTCAGAGTGAGATTAAAATAATTTTAAAGTATGTATGTCTGCATTGCATGTAAGTCCTGGGTTAGTAGAACTCAAGACAGCAGACCCTGGGTTTGTTAACTGAGGATTTGAGCATCTACAGTCACTTGTAATCTCAGGTTAAAAATTATTGAACTCTGGGTCCCAACTTGTGGCTCCAGTGTCTACACTGCATTGTGCAGGCTTGAGCCTCACCACCACTATACCAGACTTTGTAATATGAGTCAGCTCTAGGCCTTGGTTTCTGGCGTATTATAGGAAAATTTGACTCCCTACCAAACATGATTGTCCAGAGGACAGAGAAAGTCAGTTCTTGGCATTGTGGGATTCATTTGACAGATTCCCAGAGCATGACTAGAGTGGAGCTTTATCCACTTGGCAAAACAATATGTCTTGAACAATGGGTTCCAGCTTAACTCAGGTTCAGACCCTCCACTCTCCATCCTCTTGCGGTCCTGATATTCTTGGACTGAGCCCTGATTAGCACAGTTTGTGTACAGATGGAATGTGGAGCCTGAATTTGAAACCTGGAATTACTTTGCAGTGTAGACACAACCAGTATTACAAAAAGTCCTTCATTACATCCATGATATCAGTATCCAGATAGTGCACTATAAATACAACGCACTACAAGACTATGATCCTGAAAACTACTTTAAATGATTGACAGCAAATAATAATTGCCTGGCACTTAATGGCTGGCTTGCCTCTTTACTTCCCTGGAATGCAAATGGGAAGAAGAGCATAGAAGAGGAAGTTCCTCTGAAGAATCATGTTCACTGGCTGCCCTTAAGCTATTTCAAGCTATTGTGCAAATTCCACTTAGAGGTCTGAACATGCTTAATTCCCATCACGTTTTGAGACCTGTGGATGCCACAGAAATTACAATTATTTATTATTTTAATTTCAGGATGCTACGAATATTAATCAACCACTTCAGTGTATTTGTGGATACAATATTATTATTCCAACACTTCTGGAAAAATGGGGAGAAATAGTAGTATTCATAATCAATAAATTGGTATAGTAGTAGAAAACACAGGTAGTGACTGAACTGCTGATGCATAGTTGACTTATGCTTTCGTGTCTTTCCCTGAAGTAAAATAAATTAGTGTTTAATATCTGTATATGAACTCATTTGAAATATATCAGAAGGTTTAGTGAAGGAAAGAATCCTAGTTATTTACTGTGTCAGACAGAAGAAATATGAATTATCATTGGTAAGGATGTAGCTGAAATGACAGTTTATCTCCTTAACCTCACCTCTGATATGTAATCAGGCATGGTCGTCTTTCATCATATGGTATTTTATGCCTGTTTTAGAAGCCAAGAGGGTTTATTGTTGGCAAAGGGATATGGGAAGCAAAACCATTGTTTAACTGTAGTATTTTTTCCAGTCTGAAAGAATTCCTGCCTAAAGAATACATCAAACAAAGAGGAGCTGAAAAGAAAATATTTCAGGTAATTTGAGACATTACTTTTGTAAGCATAAGAAGAGTTTACATTCACAGCTCTGTAGTCTCTGCATGTCCGCTGCTTACATAATAAATTCTCATTAACTCAAGTGTAAAGACGCTGACAACCTTTCTTTTCTTCCATTGGCAGATTTATTATCCTTTGTGTTTTTATTGAAGGTCATTCACTTTCAGTGCGTGTTCAAGGTTCCTTAGGCCTTTTTTCTAAATTATGTGAACCGGGAAGATGTGCATTGGCATTGAAATAGAAGCACACTTAGGGAGGTCAGTTTAGTTTTATGCATGCAGCTTTTCATGCCTTCATAGCTCAAGCATGAGCTTCAAGTGTTGTGTAAGACAGAGTTCTTCTGGGCAATACTTGAATTCAGCGAGGTGGCTGGGAAGGACCAAATTGTAAAAGACTGAAATGATCAAATACACAACATGCTGACACTGCTGGAAATGTTTTATAGGATTTTGCCCTGATGTGTCAATGCTGATTAATATATAAACCCAGCAACAAGTAAGTATATGAGCAATTTTATTTAGCTTAGAAAATTTTGAAGTTAGCAGCTGAAATATGGTTTTTCACATCATGAAAGAAAATGGCAGTGACATATGTTCTCAGCATGGAACCTCATTCTAATTGTGCACTGCTAGAATTTTTGAAGTATTATTTTTATTCTGTGCACTCCCAGTGAATAAATTCTTTAACTCATGAATTAGTTATAGGTGGAACCATTAGTGCCACCCACAGTTGTGTTTGTCCAGCACTTTTCCAGGCTGGATGTCAGCCACAGAGTGAATTTTTTTGTAATATTTCAGCAAAAATGGTCCATCCATTTCTTAGGATGAGACTGTTTTGTCCAAGTTAAAAAAGATTGTTACAAGAGATTTGTTGAGATATTCTAGCACAGGATAGGCAATAATTTTTGCAGGGGAGCCACTCCCAAGAATTTTGGTAAGTTCTCATAAGCCGCACTTTTCTTTTCAATTAATGGAAGTGTGTGACGGACCGGGCCGGGTCTGGGCACAGCTGAGGGAATTCGCTCAGGGTGAATTGCTCAAACTCGGGGTTCCTTACAGCCCCACACTGGAGACCTTCCCAAATAGGCCACAAACCAGTCACAACGAGCACTTCAGCTGACAATCTGGCCAGCCAGAAGCCTCACAAGCAAAACCCCTCCGAAACCCCAGCTCTTCCTCTGCCCCAATCAGCCCCAGGCCTAATACTAAAGATCACTGTTGCACCCATGGGGGGGTGTTTGCCCCAAAAGTCTGTACAAAGGGGATCATGTGAGGTGTCACATGAAAGCTTATGTTCTACTGATTCATTATATGCTATTCATGTACTTGTATAATATCTGTATGTGGAGTTATAAATATGTACTCTGTGTTGACCACAGACAGGTTAGGGGTTACAGATCACAATCTCACCTACCCCGAATGGGTTCTTCCGGTCCCAAGAAACCAGCCACAGGTCCCAGACAATTTACACTCTGGATCTTACCCACAAGACCACGCTGAGCCAATCCTTTAGAATCTAAAAGCATGAGAGTAAGGTTGTTAAGGAGAATGCATTACATGCATCTAATCAGCCAGTTCTCGATACAGGCTCTTAGCAGAGATGTTATAAACTGCTATCTTAAAGTCTCTGGTGTACAGCCTATGTCAGGATGCGTCCACAATTCTTTCCGGCTCATTGTTCCCTGCAAGGCTGCAGCTGTGATCAGAAGCTGAACTCAAGACCTAATGAAATCTGCCACATGGCATTTTATATCCATCCCTGGTCTCTTCCAAGCTGGAGTGGGTCACATGGCCCAGGGACCTATTCTTGTGTCCCAAGCCAACAATCATCATTCTGGCTGGTCTGCAGGCATCCAGATTCATTCCTCAGGTGTGTCTTTGGCACCTAGAGATCTATTGTCCCTGGAGCCTCGCTAATTAGCATAGACACTGAACGAACATTCCAGGCACATTGCTCTGCCTCAGACAGAGAATTTTCCAGGGTCAGCACAGAGTACAGATTTAGAACTCCACATACAGATATTATACAAGTAAATGAATAGCATATAATGAATCAGTAGATCATAAGCTTTCATGTGACACCTCACATGACCCCCTTTGTACAGACTTTTGGGGCAAACGCCCCCCCCCCCCCTGTGAATAATGTGACAAGGCGTTGTGTGGTCTGGGATGGAGTTGGGTGTAGAGGGAGCTCAGGACAGGGGTGGGGTGCTGGATCTGCAAAGGGGTTTGGATACAGGAGAGGTTTCTGACCTGGAGTAGGGGATTGGGGTGCAGGAAGGGGTGCCAGGTGCAAGGTCTGGCTGGGAGACGTTTGCCAGCATAGGTGGCTCCTGGCTGGCGGCGCAGCTACTGGTTGCTGCCGGTAAGTGTGTGTCTCTGCGTGGGGGGGCAGGCACACTGGGTTCCCACCCTTGCAAGCACTGCCCCCATAGCTCCCATTGGCTGGTATCTGTGACCTCCTCCCCACCTAGGAGCTGCTGCCAGAGGGATGTGCCAGTCACTTTCAGGAACTGCCCAAGGTAAGCGCAGCCAGGAGCCTGCACCCCTCACCTCCTCCTGCACCCCAGTTCAGGACCCACACCCAAACTCCCTCCCACAGCCCACACCCCAAACTTCCTCCTGCATCCAGACAAGTCCCTCCCACGACCCACACCCCAAACCCAAACTCCCTCCTGTAGCCCACACCACTTCCCAAACACCAAGCCCCTGTCCCAGCTCTGAGCCTGTACCCTCCCCCACCCTGCAGCCAAACTCCCTCTCAGAGTTTGCACCTCACAACCATTCCTGCACCCAAATGCCTTCCAAGAGCCTACATGCCAACTTTCTGCCCAGCCTGGGAAAGTGAAGGGTGAGATGGGAGTGGGGTCAGAGGGAGGGGTCAGCATGTGGCCTTGGAAGAGGGCAGGGCAAGGGATGAGCAGCTGCAGGGGTGGGGGTCCCTGAAAATGTTTAAATCAAAATGGGGTTCCTCTCGAGTTGCTGAAGTTTGTGACCTGTTGATCGGGGGATACAGTAGCTCAGCAGGACTGTCTAGTTGCTCTCCCTAGTTATCCTGAGCCATCGTGGCCGGTCACCAGCTCAGAGAACGTGCAGACAGTTCCTTGTGTTCTTGATTCTCCCTCTGCTGGCACCTAGTCAGAATAGAGGAGGAAGAGCAGGAGGAAAAGGACTCACAGAGAAGCAGGAGACAACTGAAGGTATGGGCAGGCATGAAGGGAAGATATTAAGGAAAGGCAGTGGCTGGAAGCAGGGGATGGATCGTGCGACAGGCTGGGGAGAGGGCCAGATGAAGAGTGGGGGAGATTAGGAGTGGTTGAGCAAAGGGACTGGAACAAGAGGCTGCAGGACAGTAACAGTGAAAGTAATTTTAGGGTACTGCTAGACCAGTAAGCTTTCTTTCAGTATCAAGTAACTTGGTTTAAATGATAGTTTAAAAAAGAACTCAACACCTACATGGACATGATATTGGAATGAACCAGTTTGGCTTCTCTATAGGACTCTATATTGGAACTCCTTGAGCATGTCAACAAAATATTGCATGAAGAGGAACCAGCTAACTTTATTTTAAAATTCCCTTTGGTAAAGTCTTTAACAGGATGCTGCTAGGGAAATTAATTAGCCATGAGGTCAGTGGTAGAGGAGTTTTACAAGCAAGAAACTGGCCTAAAGACCAAACATTTAATATACTCCATCTTCCACAAGCTGAAAGCTGAAGTGCCTGTAGGTGAACGGATATCATGGTGACTAAACCTTAACTGTGTTCAATGTAGTGTATTTTGGAACCAGTATTAACGATTAGTATTTGAGTATTTCTAAATAAATGGTAACTACTAGGAAACAGATTTTACATCATTGTAGACAGGTTAAAATCCTTTTCCAAATTAGAGTGACTTAATTTTTTTTTAACACATGGAAAAATAAGATGGATAATGACATAATTTAGTTGATAAATCAGGATATAACCCCACATGGAAAGTTGCTTTGATCTCTAATGGCAGACTCTGAAAAGGATTCAGTAAAGAGAGGTTCAGAAGCAAGTATCAAAGTGACTAGAAACATAGAAAAACCCTACAGAGAGAGAGAGGTTTGGGACTGTTTACCCCATAGGAAGGAGCAGGAAAAAAGGTAGATGATATACAGTATACATTAATGGGTAATATAGTGAAGGTAGATCAGTGAAAATGACAGGGAGCAAGCTTAACACTACAAGGCAGTCCTGTGTACACATTGAATTCCACAGGGTACAGAGGTTAAGTGTAGTGAGATTTTTAAAAGATTGGTCATTTGAGTGAATGGCTGGGAAGAGGCAAAGTGGTTTTATGTAAGATATGAAAAAAATTGAGGGATAAATGTAAATGATGATGATTAGGCAGAAACTTCCCCTTCGGGCACCTTGTTCCATAATTCTTTGTGTCAGAAAATTTGAATATATAACCTCACTAACATTTCTGCCTAGCAATATTTTGATTTAATTCATTTCAAAATTAAAAAGCAGCCCCAATCAGTTAAAAGCTGGCACATATCACGTCCTATTCCTTTCATACTTTCCAAGAGGCATTATTTCTATTCAATCTAATTTATACAAAGTAAATTGAGCTCTTGTTCTAGGAACATAAAAACTGTGGAGAGATGACTGAAATTGAAGCCAAAGTGAAGTATGTGAAGCTAGCACGCTCCCTCAGGACATATGGTGTGTCCTTTTTTCTTGTTAAGGTAAGTTGGGATTATGCCGGCAACAGATGTCACCCCAGATGACTATCTTAAAGCAAAGTCATGAGTATCCAAAGGTTGAGGCTGCAGGACAGCCTTTCCCACTAAAGACATAGCTTGCTGAATTGTATTGTGGTAACACCAAACAGATCAGAGCCACATTTTAGTGGATTCAGTTGGCAGGGTGAAAGGCAATCTTGTTCAGTCTTGGACTTTTTTTATTTGACCTACCAAAATACTTTCTCATCAAAACATTTAGGAAGACATCACAAGTCTGATTTCCCCAGCTTAGGTGACACAGGTTTACCTGAATGTGTGTATTAAGATCTCTGCATCTTACAAGAATCGTATTCTCAGTTGTGCAGTTATTTTCTCTTATGCTTCATACAGCCATCAACTGAAGGCCTTAAGTTTTCTGCATTTAAAATCACAGTAAGTTTCTAATTGGCAGAAGATGACTACTTGACATGACCTGGCAAATACAGAATTGTTTTGGTGCTGCTAAACAAGACTTGAATCATTGCTTGCTCAGGGTGCACCTACACTGCAGGCTTAACTTGAAATAAACTATGCAAATTGAGCTACGTCAATTGCATAGCTTCTTTAGAAATAGAGCACTCTTTCTGCGACTTCCCTTACTTTTCGTACAATGAGGGTTCCAGGAGTCGGAGTAAAAAGTCCTCCAGCTTGACAGTATTTCGACATTATTTCAAAATGACTGCCTGCTGTGTAGACTAAGTTATTTCGAAATAGTGCAAGTTATTTTGAAATAATGTTGCTGTGTAGACGTACCCTCACTATTCTCTCAATGAGGCGGTGCAGGTATGAACAGAACTGCAGTCTAAATTCTCCATTCTAAGGATCACAATTGGTCCATCAAGTGACCAGATTTTTCTGAAGTCCTGAGCCACAACCTCCACTGAAGCCGATGAACTATTCGAGTGCTCGGCAGAAAGTGTGAGGGATGATAACGCTAAATGCTCAGCATCATTAAATTTAAGTAGAAGTGACACTGTCCTGTTGAGCACCTTTTTATGGAGAACTGGAAAAGTAGAATTTCAGCTCTCAGGCTGTTGTTCTCAGACATCAGAGGCCAGTATTAATTTTACCCACTGGAGTAAATACATGGTGTACCTTTGGCATCTTACCAGGTATGCCTATTACATGCTTATTTGATTTTGCTCTCTGTATGTATTTATTCCTTTTTCCTAAAATTGTTTTATTTTCTTCAAAGCCTAAATACTCCATTACAGTTCAGTGCATTAAATTCTTTTGCAAGTGAGTTAAGTGGCTTACATTATAGTGATTTATGAATGAAGAACTGAATGGTTTTTCAGGATCCTAAGTAATGAAACTTAATTTGTGCATACATTTTTAAAAGAAAAAAAATCTGGAATTAATTGGAAAGCACAATAAGTAAGTCATCATTTCACACTGGTTTCATCAGTTTATCTATGAAGTTGTATATTTGAAGCTATCATGAAAATGTGTGCAATTTTCAATAACTAAAATATTAAAACTGTACAAGCATGCACATTTATAACAAGTAATCCACTTGAAGAATATAATCCAATTTTTCAGCAATGGCTAACTGGATTGGTAGGCTGAAGATAGAAATACTTAATCTTGTATTTTTGTGAATGTGTCAGTTTGACTCCATGGTTTTCCTTATAGCAAATAGAACCTGAATCGTTCTGTGCATGTGGCACAGATAGAACTTCAGTCTGAAAGAAGTGTGTGTGAGGAAAGTGGAATAATTTGAAGTCCAAGTCTGATGTCTAGCAAAGGACCTAGTGGGTAAAATAGGAGTTGATTCTCTGCAACCCAGGACATAAAATAAATTGAGGGGGAGCAAAACATATGGATTGATTTGCACTTTTATTGCACAGTAAATTGGTATCTGATGTTCTTATGTTCCAATGGTCCTTGTTCCATGGACAGTAAGTGCTAGAGAGGCAGTATGCTCGGCCCTTGAGAGACATCACCTAGGTCCTAGAGAGATTCTTACAGTGATGATTATGTCAGTGAAGTTCTTTAATCAGTGAGTAAAACAAACATTTTAGAACTATGATGTGACTGACTTTGTCTCCTTTAAACCCCAGAATCCTTAATCTGTCTTGCTCCCTGCTAAGTCTTCATTCTCTTCATAAAATATGTGACCAGTTGCCAATGTAATTTTTAGACTGGAAAGCTAGTTTACTACATTTTACCAGCAAGATAGTTGAAAATAACTTGCAAAGAACTTGGACAGTAAAATGCTCTTTTTATTTGAAGGGAGGTTTCTTCTCCCTACTTACATTTGCTGAATTGCACAATGAGGGTCAATTGCACTTTGATGTCATCCAGCTGTTTCTGGCTAGATTCTCAAGACCTAAGTGAAGTTTTGAACCTCATTAGCATTTTGGTATGAAATCTGTTTACTAACATCTCTTTCCAGGTTATGCTAAGTGTGGTATCTGCATTCAAGAAGCAAAGTAGGGTAGATATCAACCACATAGAAGGAAGTTGCACTGAAAAATCAAGCAATAGTGCTCCTTTGTTCTGTTTTAATATGGAGATATACCTATCTCATAGAACTGGAAGGGACCTGGAGAGGTCTTCGAGTCCAGTCCCCTGCCCTCACAGCAGGACCAGGTACCATTCCTGACAGATGTGCCCAGATACCTAAATGGCTCCCTCAAGGATTAAACTCACAACCCTGGGTTTAGCAGGCCAATGCGCAAACCACTGAGCTATCCTTCCCTACCTCCATTGTTTGGACAGTCACTCCAATCAGTGCAAGTAGCGGGAAGTTGCTGCCAAACCACAGTGGCAGTAATAGTCACCTCACACTAGTGTAAATGACTGCACAAGATGTGGGTCCTGGAGAATGAAGACACAGTCATTTCTCAAACTGGGTCCATGAGGGAATTCCAGGGAGTCCATGGGCCCCACTTAGCAATTCCTCTCCCTCCTGGAACTAAATCAGGCTCCCTACCTGCCCTAGTTCCATGCAGCGCCTGGAAGCAGCCACTTTGTGACCCCTAGGTACGCGGGAGGACAGGGTGCTCCTTTTGCTGCCCCTGCCCCAGTGCTGGCTCCGCAGCTCCCTTTGGCCAGAAACTAACCAATGGGAGCTGTAGGGGCAGCATCTGAGCATGGGGACAGAATGCTGAACCTCCCTGGCCACCCACATATCTAGGGGCTGCAGGGACCCTGCACACCAAGCTCCCCCTCGCATGCAATTCTCCAGCCCTAGCCCACAGTCTCCTTCTGCATCTAAACACACCGGGAACCCGTAGCCTGCACCCTCCCAACCCTCTGTCTCAGACCACATCCCCCTTCTGCACCCCCCCCCATCCTTGGTCCCACCCTAGAGCTCACACCACCAGCAGCCAGAACCCTCACCCCCTTGCAACCCAATCTCCTGCCCCAGCCTGGTGAAAGTGATTAAGGTGGGGAGAGCAAGCGATAGAGGGGGGATGCAGGGAACAGGGCATCAAAAGAGGCTGGGCCATAGGGGTCCCCAAATGTTTTTAAATCAAAATGGGGGTCCTTGGGTTACTAAAGTTTGAGAACCACTGGACTAAAAGTCACTGGAGATGGGTATCCACTAAATTCTGGTGTGTGTCTCTCAAAGAAGATAACGCTGGGCTGGGTACCGCCGAGAGTTTAATTAGCCATGTTGTAGGTAAGATCAAAAAGACAGTGAATCCTTGAGGCTCTGAATACAACAGTGGTCTGTTGTACTGATGTGTTTGCCATATCCAGAAACACTGAGTTTGGGCGCATGAATGAGTCTACAGTGTGCCTAGTTCTTCCTTTTTCTGGGTGTATCCAGTCCCAGTCATTCCCATTCTGCTTCCTCCTTTTACCTCTGACATAACTCGTGATACTTTTGTTACAGGAAAAAATGAAAGGCAAAAACAAGCTGGTGCCTCGTTTGCTGGGTATCACCAAAGACTCAGTGATGCGTGTGGATGAGAAGACAAAGGAGGTGTTGCAGGAATGGCCACTGACAACTGTGAAGCGGTGGGCTGCCTCTCCAAAAAGCTTCACTCTGGTACTCTTTCTGTGTGTTGTTACAGTGAAGGAGGGTCTATCTGTCATGGGGAAAGGAGCATGGACTGATGCACTAAACTGATTGGCCCTCTCGGCTTTAGTTTAGTTTAGTCCTGAAGACGCAAGTGGGCCAGTTTTCTTATGGCCAACACGCTGACTCATGTACGTAGCCCGACCCTGATTATCCCAGCAGTGTTTGAAAGAGCCATCTGCCTGCCATCTGCTAATTTTGATTGTGAATAATCAAAGTTTTCAGAGCACAGTATAAAAGCGACTGGCTGTGAAACTAAATAGGGCTAAAGAAAATGCCTGACAGCGAGAGCCTTAAAGAGCGCAATTTGTTGAGCTTATCAAAAGATGATTGAGAAATGGCTTCATAGTGGTTTGTAAGTACATTCGTGGAGAGAAATTGCTGGGGGCTCTTCAGTCTAGTGCAGGGGACTCTGAACCTTTTTCTTGCTAAGAACTCTCCAACATAAAAGCTATGGTGCTACATTGCTCATGCTTTGGCTTCTGCCCCAGGTGACAGGGCTCAGGACCCAAGATTTAGCTCTATGTGAAGGACTTTGGCTTTCTTCCTTGGGCTCTAGTGAGTTTGATACCAGCCCTGCCTGGGGGACCCCTCTGAAACCTGCTTGAAGCCCCCTCCGCCCTCAGAGTCCTGGTTGAACCAATGGCTGGAAGATGAATTCAGACAAGATAAAATTAGAAGTAAGGCACACATTTTAAGTGAGGGTTAGTACCATTGGAGCAAACTGCCAAGGGATGTGATAGATCAGTGGTCTCCAACCTTTTTAATCACAAGATCATTTTTCAATTTAAGTGCAATGTAAGATCAACCTCAAACCCAAATACCCTTGCCTGGCTTCCTTCCCCCTTTCCCCCTTCTCTGAGGCACCGCCCCTGCTCCATCCCTTCTCGGAGGCCTCACCCTGCTCACTCCATCCCCCTTCCTCCCCGAATCTCATTCACTTTCACTAGGCTGGGGTAGGGGATTGGGGTACAGGCTCTGGTCTTGGGCCAAGGGGTTCAGAATTTGAGAGGGGACACCCTGAAGGTAGGGGGCTGGGGTGGGCTCTGGAGTGGACATGGGGATAGGGCATTTGCTTGGGGAATGCAGGTGCCGGCTTGGTAGGTTCAAGTCCCACTGCCCACGCAGATAGTGGCTGGGCAGCCAAAATGGGCTGCCCCAGGGATGGACCTAGCTCCTGCACTGGGAAAGCAGGATAAGGGACCCATGGGAGGTGGGGTGGACCAGGGGATAGGGCATTTACCTGAGGAGCACAGGGTGGTGGGCTCAAGGAGCAGCCTGACAGCTGCCCCAGGGATGGAGCAGCAGCATCAAGGCAGGACTTACTCCTGCCCCGGTCCTGAACCACCCCCAAAAGCAGCTGATATGTACAGCAGTGGCTCCGCATGCTGCCCCTCATCTACAGGCACCAACCCCACAGCCTCCACTGGCCACTGTTCTCCATCACTGATCAATGGGAGCTGCAGGAGTGGGGTCCACAGGCAAGGACAGCATATGGACATCCCCTACTCTCAGGGGCTGCAGGGACATGCCGGCCACCTTGAGGAGCACAATTACCACAGGGATAATTACTCCAGACATGACAGGTTCTTTGACATCACTACTCAAAGAATTAAATGTAAGTGTAAGAGAGAAATGAAAGTGATGCAATGCACAGACCAGTCACAAACCAAAACTAACCCACTTGGCAAGCAGGAAAAGTGGTAACAACCCCCCATGTACGTGTTGGGTCAGGAGCTGAGAGGGAAGGACAGTGTGTGTTTGTGAGTGTGACAGAGATTTGCATTGCCAAGCTTCCTCCATCCCCTTCTCTCTGTGTGGAGACAGGGTACAGGAGTGGGGGGAGGGGAGAAAGGACACTGACATCTGTGCCCCCCTCTTCTCCCTCCACACCCTGCACAGCAAGCAGGAGTCTCCCAAGGGGCAGCTCCAAGGCAGAGGAAGGAGCAGCATGACAGTAGGTGGAGAGGCAACTGAAGTGCCAGCCCTTGAGAGCTTCCCGGCCAAACCAGTCGGAATCACCTGTCAGAGGCTCCAGGATCTACTGGTAGATCCCGATCTTCTGGTTGGTGACCACTGTGGTAGATATTCCCTGTCTTGAAGTCTTCAGATCAAGACTGGATGTCTTTCTGGAGGAAAAAGTTTAGTTGAATGCAAATTATTAGACACATGCACAGGAATGGGGTGAAATTCTGTGGTGTGTGTTACATGTAGGAGGTCACAGTATATGATGTAATGGTCCCTTCTGGCCTTAAAAATCAATGTATGAAATGGCTCTAATAGAAAGAGCTGTTTTCTCCTCTCATAGTTAGTTCATTGTGGAGCCTTGGAATGCTTTTATCTAACATTAGTGCTATTAACTAGAATAGAACATCAAAGATAAAAGGACATTTCAGCTGCATTTTGGGGGTTTTGGTGTAAACCCTGATCCTTACATAGTAGATAAGCTTGTTGGATTAAAAGTAAAAGAAATTTAAAAAATATATTTCCCTGTCTCTAATTATGGACATCTTCATACAGCCGCTGTTGATTTATTTAAATTTATTCTCAGGGGTGAACTGCTTATTATACCTTCTTTTCGTAGGATTTTGGTGAATATCAAGAAAGTTATTACTCAGTTCAAACCACTGAAGGTGAACAGATCTCTCAGCTAATTGCAGGTTACATTGATATCATCTTAAAGAAGGTAAAATATTAGAATCTCAGTAAAAGTGCCGTAAAATTAGTAAAAGCACTGTCTCGCTCACCAAAGAAAGGTTACCGATAGCAGTAATTCGCTTTCTTTTGTAACACTAAGTAGGTTGTGTGGGTGTTATTTATATATATAATATTTATATATGATTCTCTGATAGCAAGAACTCCTAGAAAATTGTTTAGCTACTATAAAGAAGTGTTTGTGGCAATAATATTAAAACTATAAGTCATATTAAGGAAATGGTTTAGAAAACGTAGCTGAGCCTGCTTGGGCATTTAAGTGAATATCCTTCTGGAAAACAGATACACGTCAGTGGGCAAATATCAAGACAATAGTGCCCCAAACATTTCTTCTTAACTGGAGTGAGGCAGGGAGGGAGAGAGGACTTATTTAGGAAGCAAACTTTCTACTGCCACTAAAGACTAGATTAGAATTGTCCTGAGTCTGTTGGCATAAACTGCACCAAAAATCAAATCACTGTCCCTGTCAAAATTTAAGAATAAGTAGCCATGTTCTGTGAAGTCTTAAATGTATGATTTGAACTTTGCGATCAAAGGAAGAAAACTCGGGTTTACTTCCTTGTGACTGAATCAGAATATTTTGAAATTAAGTTTTGTATAGACTGTATGGCAGGATATGTTGGTTTTCACCTCAATTATTCAAAATATGCATTAAATCACAAGTGAAAACTGAACTGTAGTAGTTCACCACAATAGTTAACATTTGCCAACAAATGCCACATGATTACTAGTTGTGTTCTAAGCACTTTGTGGGGAAACCTGTGGCATCTTAAATACTGCTGAGTGCCTGCTGTTGACAAATTTTACTAGGAGTAGACCAAACTACAACATGATCCATTATAAGTATTTGTTCATGCCAGAGAAATGACAGACAGCTGGATATTTCAGTAGGACTGTGGATATTTGTTTAGGGGAACGCCAGGCCTAGAATAAAATAAAACTCTGTGTCATGAGTCAAATGAGAATTATACTGTTTTCAGTTGTCAAGCTTGAGTTCTCTCTCTGCCACATCTGATTACCTCCGTATAGAAATCTTGAAACATCAATTTTCAAGGCATATTTAAGTTCCTTATACAGCTGGATGTTACGTCTCAGGAGCACAGGGGCAAGCCAGGCACTCAGCCCCAGGAACATCTGCTTTCGCATCCTGAAGTTCAGGAGCCACTGCTGGTTGTCCCATTGCTCCAGGACCGGCCAGTCCCACCAGTCGGAACTGGTATCTCGTCTCCAGTATCTCCTCTCCACGGTTGGCTATGGATGCCACAGGGACGCCACCGCATCCGGAGAGAGGGAGTCCAAAGTGAGCTCGGCTTCGAGCCCATGCAGGAGTAGCGAAGCAGCATGGAGCAGCAGCTGCAGACACTCTAAAATGGCCGTCTGGGGCCAAAGCAGGCACAGGGCCACCCCTGGCTCCATGGCACAGCAAGCACAAGGCAAAATTCACAAAAGACACTAGGTCACAAAGTTGTGGTGTCCAGTAAGGCAGAGGGCAACCACAACCTCCGCCCTTAGAAGGTCCTGGTGCCCTTTTACCCTCTCCAAAGTAGTTCCAGGGGGAAGTTTTTGCACAAGAGCATCCCGCCAGTGTGGACGCTCTCTTGTGCAAAAGCGCATGGCTTTTGCAATGCACTTTGACCAGTGTGGACGCGCTCTTGCACAAGACCTTTTGCACAAAAACTCTTGCATAAAACGGTTTTTTCGCAAGAAGCCTGCAGTGTAGACGTAGCCACAGTGTAGTAGGTGGAGCTGTTTTCTGGGAGGGGCAAGTGTTTTGTCTTATTCAAAAACGGCCTGCTAGCACTACTATCCTTGCTAGTCTTCTCCCCTTATGCATATGAAATTCACCGGTACAAGGACCCAGATTATTTTGTGCTACCCATGTGTTCTGGATGCTGAAGTTCCTTGTCACCTTTCTGTCATCTACTGCAGCCATAACATGGAGCTGTATGCTAAGACGGAGTACCTGCTCACATAGGAGAGTTCCAGAAATCACAGTATAGCTCTTGAAAGAGAGAGAGCGCACAAGAGAGAGAGCAAAAGAGAGAGAGAGAGAGAACTCATGCAGATGGCACAATTTGTGTAATATAATGACAAAATAAAGGCAGACAAGTTCAAAAATGAAATGAAATAAAAATGCTACATAACTATTTAAGTTTTTTGTTTTTTTCTTTCTTTTTGTTTATTCCAGAAACAAAGTAAGGATAGATTTGGGCTCGAAGGGGATGAGGAATCAACAATGTTGGAAGAATCTGTGTCACCTAAGAAGTGAGTTCGTGCAATGGAAAAAATGGCTCTTTCCATAAGAGTGAAATGTGTAATAAGCAGTGGGTAGTTTTCTTTAATCCCACCTATAGTTTAATATATTTTGGTCCTTAGAAGAGTTACTTAACTGAAGAGTCATTTCACAGAAAACAATTCTGTCATCATGCTCTTCTGCAGAGTTAAGCTTGTTGTTAAGTGTTTTGTCCTAAGACATTTGGTATAAAAAAGTATACACAGTTATGGTGACTGAGCCACAGCCTACGGAACTGAGACTAACTCAGTAACAATCTGTAGTCAGAGTTGTAAAAATTCAATTAGTGCAAGGTTATGTGCCCCGTTTGTGGATATTTATTTGCTTTTTGTTTTGTTTTTTGGGGGTTTTTTTTGCTTACATTTGCTAATTTGATGGTTTACGTGCAGTGCTATTCTGTAACTGTCATTAGCAGAGTTTTGTTCAATATGGGGAAAAAATCCATCAATAATCTTTTAAATGCTGCTCAGGCTGAGGAGGGGATTGGCTAATAGTGCGGCACACGGTGGGGAGCCGGGATTTCACTGGAGAAGGGTGGATTATACTGAAAAGAATCAAGTGTAGAATCCTGGAGCTGATGGTGCACTTGAAAAGGAATGTTCATGGTCTCATTACAGTAGAGTAGCAGGAACCGTTTCAGTGCCGGGAGAACTTTAATGGGGCCTAACTTAAGCCTCTTCTCTAAACTCAGTTGGAAAGGAGGGTAGTGTCTCAATTGTGATTTGTTACACAAATGGCTTACAGGAAATGAATTGGTTAGCTCTTTTATGTGGCCTTACAGGAATGTTTAGCTTTTAGTGTAGCCCACATGTTTTCACAGGCCAAACTTCCCGTTCCAAATAGCTTCCAGAATGTGTCCTCTTAGTCCATTTTTCCCATGTACGTTGTTGCTTTTTTAATATAAAATTATGCCATTGCCTCCAACTGTTGGCACTTAGACTGTATTTAATATGCACAATACTCTGGTAAAATGGCATATACATAATCAATTTTAACGTATGTGGTCCTGATCTTCTGCCATTATTTGGGATGCTGTCAAATTTCTATGATAGGCCAAGTGTAAACACGCACGGTTTGGAAGAAGGGGGTATACATTTTATCCCAACTCCTGTGTTATTTCTTGCAGTATTCTGGGATGGAAACGATCAGGTCTCCCAGGTTTGAGTGCATTAATAGCTCTTAATATTTGTCTTCCACCTCAGATGTAATAATTTCCCTTTCTAATTTCCATCAGCTGTATTGCATTCATGCATACGTTCATTATTGTCATTGTTATTCAAAACTGAGACCAAGTATTCATTTAATTTTGAGCCATACTGAGATTATCTTTAATCCCTATTGCATAGCAAGCCAGCTTTGTTCTTCCTTATTCTCTTGTTATTTATATAACTAAAAAAAGTCTCATCTTATTTATTTTAATTTTCTTGGCAAGAGCTATTTCAGCTTGACTTATAGACATTTTCCCTGTACTCCTGCGTTGTCTAACTTTCTTGATATAGCTTTCTTTGTCAATCAACCCCTATTTCCATTCCCTGTAGGCTCTCTGCTTACTCCTAATAACCCCTGTGAAGTGGTGTTCTTCCAGCTGGGTCTCTTTTTTCCCCCTTTTTTGGGATGTGAAATTCAGATAGTTAGTTTTTGTATAGTTGATTTGAATAAATTCCAAGTTACCTCTGCACTTCATTCCAGCTGACTTCTTTAACTAACTAATATCCCAAAGTCTATGTTTATTAAATTAAAAAAACATGGCTCTTGACTTGGTTTGTACTACCCTTTCATTTAATGTAAACAGAATCAATTTGTGATCATTCCATCCAAAGTGATTTCTTAGGAGAGCTCTTTTTTGATGTTCTCACTGCTTACTTAAACCAAGTCTAAAATTATATCACCTCGTGTTGGTCTGATTCTGAATATGGAGTCACCAGACACACAGACCTGTCTCTTCCTGATATTGGGGTGAATTTGTTATGTGTTCTCTCAGTCCCCTGTACATCAGTCTCATTTTTCCTAAGGCTCTGGTCCCTATCTCTTATCTCTTCCTCTCTGCTGTAGGGACTGGCTTATCTTTTCTGCCTTGCCCCACGTCACCTTCTGCTGGTTTCTCCTCTTCATTCCCCAATGATGGATACTCATTTTCACCTGCTTTGTGCTTCATGGTCATATTCTTCCCTGGATCACCCTCCAGGTCCTTTTATTCAGTTTTGAGTTCTCTGTACCTCCTCTCCTGCATTATTCCTTCAAATCCCTGTCTGAATGTCATTGTCTCCAGCTCTATCTTTAATCCTTGAACTTCTCTGCCATGAGTTTTATCGGGCATAATTTCCTTTGGATACCCTTCAAACATGATGTGCATCATCAGGTCCTGCAACCAACCCCCTCCTTTCTCTCTCCTCTGTCTCTGGTCACTTCTAGTTCTGCCTCAATAGCCATCACTGTCTTCTTCTCCTAGACTCCGTTCCTAAGAAGATGGGATTTAGTTGGGATTGGTCCTGCCTGGAGCAGGGGGCTGGATATGATTCTATGAAGGGAAATATAAATTGGGGGCCGCTTCCTCTACCTCCTTCCCACAGAAGCTGTTGTTTGCTGCTTGCTGTTCACTAAGCCAGTGTTAGCTAGTGACTAGCTTTTTAACTGACCAAAGCACCGCCCCCTTAAGAGATATTAGCAAGCTCTGAATCAAGCCACATACCTAGAACAAATCACTCTGCTTGTGGTTTTGCGCACAAAATCTCCACTCTTCCCTCAGGCTAAACTCCCATGGAAACTCTGCCATTAACTGCCATGTTCTAATGTGCATTCCTACTTCAGATCTACCATCTTGCAGCAGCAGTTCAACCGAACTGGGAAGGTAGAACATGGCTCGGTGGCACTGCCTGCGGTGATGCGTTCAGGCTCCAGTGGCCCAGAGACTTTCAATATTGGCAGCATGCCTTCGCCCCAGCAACAAGTCATGATTGGACAAATGCACAGAGGCCACATGCCTCCCCTGGTGAGCAACCTGTTTGTTTGATAATGTCCTTGGAAACCAGCTCATGTAGCTTCTGCTGTGACTGGTATACAATAAGTATGTGCCCATACCCTGGTATTAAGTAAGGCCTAGGGGTATCTGTTGTTTTGCTGCCTGTTTAGTACAGATTGAACCTCTGTAATCTGGATTTGCGTAGTCTGGCAAAACCCCGGGTCCGGCATTGTTGGTAATCCCATGGGTATTCCAGGGCTGGAACATTCACAGGGGGAAAAAATGGGCTGGGACCAGAAGTGGGAAGAACGGGTGCCCCAGAGGCCGGAGCAGCAGATTCCTGGAGCTGTGGTGGCCAGAGCAGTCGAGCTAGGTTGGCATTGACCTTTCCTGGTTTTGCCTCCTGGTTTGGAATCAATCAGGTCCCGAGGGTGCCAGACCAGGGAGGTTCAACCTGTCGTCAGGAAACTGTATTGTTGACAAGACAAATGGTATTTAATGAAAAATAAAGTATGTATCCATTTGTAGTGTTCTTAAAAAGTTAGCTATCTAGGCCTCGCTGTCTATGGATATTCCTGTGAAGTCTGTTGCTATGGGTTTTTTAGTGTGCTGCTACTGGACTTGAGTATTAAGATCACTTTATTAAACAGTCATTGTAATATAGTTTTAAATTTTCCGTACAACTGTAAAAGTTACCCTTTGTCTTCCAATTTTTAAACGTGTATTGACTAAGACTGTTTATTGAATGTAATGGGATCTATCAAAGAAGGCATATACACATGCTCTAGAATGATTTCCTAACAGTAGGGCAAATTTTTATCTGATCACTAGCAGCATAATTCAGAAGAATATTAATTTATTCATCAATAAGGGATCCATATAGCAATACATACTCATCCCACACTGCTTCAAAGCCTTCATCTCTGCAGCACCCTTATCACATAGATGTCAGCTTGATGACGCTAATGGAATACAGATTCCAGGAATCTGATGTTATCCGCATTCATTGAACACATGCCCAAAAAGACACTGGATTTTTTTACATGAGTAATGGGCATGTTGACTGTGATATCCAGCTTTTTTTAACTTGTGTAACTGAGAATAACTAAATATTTTAAACAGCTCTTAGATTGAGTCAGAAAAATATCCGAGTAAACAGCTTGTATTGTTAGATTATAAAAATTTTTAAACCTGATATTCACTTGTTTCTGCAAGTCCTGGGGGGACTAGGAAGACTCAAACTAAAACAATAGCAATGGGACTCAATGAGAATGCACCCATGATTAAGCCAAAATCTTCTCTGTCTGAAAGTAAAGAAGTCCCTGAGATGCTTTGTCAAAATGGAGCATGAACGTCTGTTCTAAGCATAGTTTTTGTGTAATGTGGAAAGATGCTCTGGCAAGTCAGACCTCTCAGCAAAATCTTTGTCTTTCTGTTGAGAAGTTAGGTTTGGGAGTTGCTCATGTTCTCAGTTAATATCAAAGAGTTACTGTACTGAAAAGCCTCCTCCTGCTTAAAGAAACTTATCCTGGTTTCATCTCTCACACTGGAACTGATCAACTTTCCCAAAGTTGTGCAAGTTTGAAATAGGGCAGTCACGTACCTTGGGAGGCTGCCTGGATTAGGCTGTCGCTTCCTTTCCTATCCTCCAGGTTTGGGTTCAAAGACATGAGTCAGGGAGCCACGCGCTTCTAGTATGGTGCATTAATGCTGGGAGTTTCTCAGCTGCTGTGGGTTAGCCATGAAGGAGTCAAGAAGCAGTATGTATTAAGTAAAGAAGGGAATCAAAGGTAGTGAGGAGATAGCGAGCTAGTTGGTAATTGCTAACTTGGACCTGGCAATTGGACCTGTTAACATTGACAGTGATATTGTGAATTGGTTGCTTGTTAAATTATTCTGTCTCTTTTCCACCAGTTTGGGAAAGGGCAGAACAAATTCTAGTGACTGTAATCTTTACTGATCTACATAGAGCACTAGTGTGATACTTAGACGCCAACTTGCCCATTCAGGCTCTTCAACAAACCCATATTATTTAGACTCACAGGAGCATTCTTTCTGTGTGAAGAGACTGTGGCTAGAACCATAAATAAAAATAAAAATCATCATTTATACAAGTCTAATGATTTATGCTCAGTTATTTAGTATATAGCAGAAAACATTTCAAATCCAGCTAAAGCATCACTTGCAGCTTGGCAGACACCAGTTCTACTTGTCTGTTTCACAGACCTCAGCGCAGCAGGCCTTGATGGGAACTATTAATACTAGTATGCATGCTGTTCATCAGGCACAGTCTGACCTCAATGAAGTTGATAACCTACCACCTCTAGGACAAGATATGGTGAGTTGATTCATGTGGTTCTTATAGGGATTCATCTAAATGGCTTGAATTGTTTATTTAAGGGCTTATTCATTGTCCCTGGGTGCAGATTGATATCTCAATGGCTTTATAAATAAAATGAAAATCCTTGTTTAGTTTAAGGAATCTTGTGTGAGAATATCTTGTTCTGTTTGACTCAGACTAACCTTCTGAGGCTACACACTATGCACCAAATAGTTCTTTCCTTGCAATCACATTTATTTTAATGGGTCTGCACCTGTGTTACTGGGGAAAGCTTGAGTCAGTAAATCAGAGGGAAACTGCCACTTGGAATACTGTAAGGGAGAAATGGAAGGAGTGGCTGTAAAGCAAAGCCAAGATGCTGAAAAAGGCGCAGCTTGAGTAGAGATAGCTCATGACCCTAAAGAATGGTGGGTGTAGCCCTGTCAGATACAACTCAAAGTTCTTCACCTAGGTTTGGCTCTAGAAATGTCTCTTTCTCAGAACACCAGCAAAACAGACAAACTTGTCTGTTTAGATAGTCTTACATTGCTTCTTAGTTATAATTGTTAATGAGATATGGAACTTGTCAACCCTGGAATAGTTGGAACCAGTTTTGATCTGGAGTAGAGCCAGTAAGATTTGATGAGTCCCCCTGAAGAGCCAGATGGCATTCAGTGGTCCTCCACTGTGCGCTATTTTGACACCATATTCAAGGTATTCACCTGGAAATTAGAGCTGGTGATCTATGTTCCAGCAGTTCCTGGAAGTTATTTCAATCTAATAGCTTAATTGATGCCATCTGCTAATCAAGGGCCTGTAAAGAGTTTTACTCATTACCTTACCTTGAGTTTGTTTCGCAGCATAGCACTGCAGTCCTTAATACTCAGATGTTGTTCCTTTCTAGGCATCGAGGATGTGGGTTCAGAACAAAGTTGATGAATCAAAACATGAGATTCACTCTCAGGTTGATGCTATCACTGCAGGAACTGCCTCTGTTGTTAACCTCACAGCAGGTAAACTACAGCAATTGACCGCTGCCAAGCTACTGTTGCGCATATGCCAACCTCTTCTCAATAAGATGGAGACTGTCTGGGAGATGTTCAGAAGTGTATTTTCCTCCAAATACACAGATGGCTTTTATGATTGAAGCAGACCTTATTAGCTTTATTTTACCAACATTTACACAGAACCTAACACCTCAGGAAATAGAGAGTAAAATTTTATAAAGCTGTTATGAAGTATCATATATTGGCCATTCCTACTACCAGGATACTTAATTTTGTGGACAAATGGCTTGCTCTGGTCTGCCTAACCTTGTGTCCTACAGTTTTTCAGGGAATTGTGCTGTGAATTGGTTTAAGATATTTAAAAGCAACTCGTGCCCAATATGTTATTTGGGTCCATCCATATAGTGAATACGGAGAGGTAACTGAATTACGGATGTTTTACTTACCTGGGAGTAGCGAAGAGAAAAAATGCCTTTACAACATATATATGTCTTACCTACAGGCAAGAAAAGTGAATAGTAGATGTTAGGTTTTCAAAAGGATGCCTGAATTATTTAGCCAAATCTGCTTCATCCCCCTTGAAATTTACTCCTGCTTATGTCACCAGAAACCAGCCTGTGCTGTACTACTTGCTTCTGCTTTTGTCATCCCCAAACAGGTGACCCAGTTGACACTGATTACACCGCGGTGGGATGTGCAATTACAACCATCTCTTCCAACTTGACTGAAATGTCCAAGGGTGTAAAACTGCTCGCTGCCCTAATGGACGATGAAGTTGGAAGTGGGGAGGACCTGCTGAAAGCTGCTCGGACTCTGGCAGGCGCTGTCTCGGACCTGCTGAAAGCTGTGCAGCCTACCTCGGGAGAGGTGAGCTATGGAAATGAGTAGTGAGCTTTCATAGGCTGTCCTTAGCTGAAATGCATTACCCATGATGCAGATGTTTGGGTGTACACCATTTATCCCTGTGACCAGAATTACTCTTTCCATTCCATGTCTTCCCAGTCCTCTCTTGCCCTTGTTTCCCGTGAGGTACATCTACACTGCAGAGCTTTTCTGGGATAGTATCCCGGAAAAACTCCGCCGTGTCCAGAGAACGCGTTTGCTCTTTCGCTTTTTTTTTTGCTGAAGTGTAATGCTGTCTTTCGGAAGCCCTGTCTTCCTCATTCCATGAGAAAGAAGGGATCTTCCGAAAGAGGGGGATTTTCTGAAATTTGGCCCACTGTAGACCTAGCCTTAGAATCTCCAGCCATTTGTCTGAGTTATGAAGTAGATTTTCACAAGTTGTCTGCACAGCATTCAGGTGGCTAATATGAAAAATCAAGTTGCTGTCTTGGATTCTGATTTTTTTTTTGTCTTTAATATCAGAGTGACGCTAAGGCAGGGATGGGCATTCATTCTGCAAGCAGCTCCAAACAGCTCAAAGGGTTGTAATTTTCTTTGAAGAGGTGTGGGATCTGGGAAAAAGGTTGGGTGCAGAAGCGAGCTTGTGGTAGAGCACTGAGGTGCCAGAGATGGTGTGGGGTCTGAGAGGGAGTCTGGGTGAAGGAGGGAATTGTGACCAGGGGATTGGAATGCAGGGTCCGGGAGAGGGGTATGGGTGTAGGTCTGGATTCTGGTTTGGGGGAGGGTTTTAGAAGGAGGTGCAGGGTCTGGGAGGCCGTTGTGACCTGGGGCAGAGATTATGGGTTCAGGAGGGCGTGGGGTGTCAGGCTGGGAGGTTATTAGCTAGGTGGCTACCAGCCAGATGCTCAGTGGGATCCTTAGGCAGGTTTCCTGCCTTCAAGCTGCTCCAAGCAGCTCTAAGTGGACGGCTTCTCCATGTGGCTCTCTGTGCCGCGTGCTGGGGAGGGGAGGAGGCTCTTTTTGTTGCTCCCACCCCAGCATAATCTCTTAGCTCCCATTGGTTGGTTCCATGCCTGAAGGTCCCAGTGGGGCAGGTCGTGGGCCAAATTAAAAGGATTGGTGGGCCATTTCTCGCCAGCTCTGACCTAAGGCCCACATCAAAATTGTGTTGAAATAGGAAATTGTACTGACCAAGACAGAATTTAATATTTCAGACCGTCTGGCCTGAGTTTTAGTATCTGCTGCCAGTTTGCCCTGGATCTTTGCACTTTTAAGGCAAATCTAGACCTCTGTGACCACTTCCAAGCAGCAAACCTTTCCTTCAGCTGCTATAATGATGTGCATTAAAGCTGATCAGATTTCTTCTCACAGTCAGCAACATATTCACTCGTGTCATTAGGATGCTGCAGATTACGTTTAGTAGTAATAAGGAAAAGTAAGAATACTCTAAGAAGCATCTTGAGTAGAGATTTCAGTGGCATTACCCTGTAAACAGTAATGTGATTAACAAAGGTGACTTCAGAGAATTACAAAGTTAAAGAAAAATGTATTTGCTTTTCATTAACTTGTTTTGTAGCCTCGCCAAACAGTTTTAACTGCAGCTGGAAGCATTGGACAAGCCAGTGGGGAGCTCCTGAGACAGATAGGCGAGAATGAAACTGATGAAAGATTTCAGGTAAGGTCATGTGAATTGCTTACTGCCAGAACCATGCAATGCCATAGTGAAGGTTGCTATTACTGTATGTAAGGTTCACAAGTAATGTTATCCTATGTCTGCACACAAGTCTTTTGTATTTCAGTTTGATTAGTATAGTTTTGACCAAAATGTGAACTGTTCCAAATCTTTAATAGGTTTAAAAGTTTAGTTGTGTTTTATTTTTGTCAACGTTTTCCTCTTTCATACAGCTTAAAATGAATATTCATAGTCAGCAGGGCATGTTTCCTATGTGGATTAATACCCCAGTCACCCATTAGTAGTTTAGAATCATTGTTGTTAAATGCTCAATAAGAAACACACCCTGACTAAGAACAGGTTTGCTTTACTACCAAAAAGAGGTAATCTAAAGCAACAGATAGAGTTTTCTATATATAAACACTTATTTGAACAGTAAAGCTGTCTATGTGTTTCAGTAATATAATCAAAGCCATCACAGTTCTATGCATCTTTGCTTATTTAACGGAAGAGCCTAGATATTTCAGTCAGTACCAGGACGCCCCGTTATCTGGCCTTCTAGTCCATTTAGCAGGTTGGATTTTATTTTTATTTTTTTGCCATAACCTCTGAATTTGTGACACTTAAATGATTTTATCCTGCCCCAAATAAACATTCAGTGCACAAAATAAATACTATCTTCTCTCATGTGCAGTTCAGACCAATTTAGTACTACTTGCTTATACAGTATGTTTTCAGAGATGGTAGGACTGTTTCAATTATATAAATTTTGTATTTTTGAACCTTTAGACGATCATTTTGCTATTTGCCAGAACATCAATACGTCACGTTAAAGTACTCTCCTTGACTACCTATTGCATTTAGTAAACATAATACTTAAAATTACATTGAAAAACTACTGATGTGGTGTCTAAGAAGGCATGTTGCTAAACAAAATAATATGGTTATTTTGGAGAGTCTCAATCCAGCTCTGTTGTATCAAAAATAACTGAAGCAGAATTTTATGCAAAGTTGTGTATTTGAATTATAACACTACAGGTATTAACCACTTTTATAGCTTCAAACAACCAAATTATTTTTTTCTTGAAAAGGAAAACATCTTCTGAAGCTGGGGCCTCTGCGGAATTTCAGCTTGGAGCCAATATTTTTATAGTGTTAAAGAAAACTGTCCTAGCAGATGGATAATCCTTAGCCACACTTTCTGTTTATAAATTAAGGTTGCAATGTCATTTTCTTTTGCTTTTCTATACAATGGATCCTTTGTACTCAACCTGTAGTGTCAGAAGGGGCATCCTTTGTACTATACCATGTAGGTAAAATACATGGCTGTAGATCATCAATTACCCAGTGAGATCAACTCAGGTTTTATTTGTACATATCTAGTAACCAACTTCACATGTTCATATAATGATGTTTCCCCACATATCTACTCCAGGATTACAACTCTACATTGCACTGTGGTGTGGAGTCAATATCTTGCATTTGCATTTGGCTATTACAAATCTCAAGTGTGTAGTTCTACTAATTCTCAAAATCTATCTGAGTGATCTATTCACTCAGCTTATTAGCTTGTTTGCACACAAAATGTTTATCTTATAAACAGGCCGTGTGTAAAAAAGAGCATTTCTTGATAAGACATTGCAACATTTCCCTGGGAATCTACCATAACATGCCCTTTGTAGAAGCCCTGTGTCTTCTTAAAAATCAGAAGATTATAGTTTAAGTAATCCCAAATACTGACGCTAACAAGTATATCTGACTGCTCAGGTCAAGTTTTGTTCCTTGTTTTGCCAGGATGTACTGATGAGTCTTGCCAAAGCTGTAGCAAATGCTGCTGCCATGTTGGTGTTGAAAGCTAAGAATGTGGCTCAAGTTGCTGAAGATATGGTCCTTCAGAACAGGGTTATTGCTGCTGCTACGCAATGTGCACTGTCCACCTCTCAGCTTGTGGCGTGTGCCAAGGTAAGGCTAACGGTCTTCTTGAAAGAGACAATGTGTCTGTTTCAGTATGTTACAAAATCATTGTTTAGAGCAGGGGTGGGCCATGTCCAGCCCGCCCAGCCTTTCTCTCGGGCCTACCCAACTGATTAGCAGAGCGTGCATACTTTCCAGCCAGCAGCCTGTCTTCTGCTGTCTCCTCCTCCTCCCACCCTGTCACTTTCCTCTGTGCTGCAGCTGAGCTGTGCAGGGCAGGGAGTCTTGGGGAGGCAATGCTGAAGTCAGGGTGTCCTCCCTGCCCCAGAGCAGGGGTCAGGAAAGGGATACACAGCAGAGATGCACCTGTCTGAAGTATGGATGGTGAATGACTGAGAGGCAGTGTGCTGTTTTCTCCACAGCCAGCTCTCTCTCTCACACACATTCCCCATTCCTCTGCACGATCTCTGCAGAGCAAGGGAGGGGGAGACAACAGAGCAGAACAGCTTTCCCTATCTTACAGACAGTGGATTGCATCTCTCAAAAATTTCCCCAGCAGCAGGCAGCACACACTCCCTGTATCATACACCGTCACACACCTAGTCTGTGTCGCCCTCTGCCTCATGCACACCCTGTCACACACAAACATCCAGTCACTGTACCACACACATTCTCCCAGTCTCTGTGCCTCTCGCATATACTCAGTCTGTGCCACAATGTCCTGGTCTCTCTCTGTCTTTTTCTCTCATACACACACTCTCTCTAGCCCCAGACCCATCCTTTCTGTCCAAAGCCCCACTCCTTCAGGGGCCCTAGAACCAGCCCGTGGCAACTTACCAAAATTCATGAGTAGCTCCCTTGCGAAAATTCTTGCCCACCCCTGGGTTAGACTATTCCCTGGGTGTACTGGCAATTTGCTTTTATCAGTTATCCTTGAATATCCTGGGGTTAGAGTGCCTACTAAGAGATACAATTCTGCAAAGATATTTAGGGTTCTATCTCCAAGAAATCTTATGGACAGTGCCTTGTTTCTCAGTGGTCCTCTCTGCAAGGTGTTGATTGCTACTGCTGTGAGCATTTCACAACTTGGCCTTCCATGGTTGTGATTATTTAATGAAGCACATGTTTATTTCCCCTTCATGCCATGACTAGACTATTTGTTAAACAACTACTGATTAGTGTATTTGTGGTTTGGTTTCTTGTTAGATTACAGTGAACATCAAAGGCAGCCTTTAGAAAATGAAGAGCTGCCATACTATCCTAGAGGAAGGCCCATAGATAATTGATATCAACTGCTATAGAGCTAATATTGATAAAAAAATGCTGAAAATATTACTCTTTGAAACACAACTTGTCTGGTGTTATGTGAAATATTTAACAAAACCTATAACCAACACATGTTCACCTGGATTATTTTCATCAGAACAGAAATGTAAGCCAGGTTTGCAGAAAGATTTGTGTTCAGATTTATATGCTTCTACATCATTTCATGGTTTCTGATGGGAACAAGAAGAGATGCATCAGTTTTGACTGATTATTGAGATTTCCAGATAAATATAGACAAGGCCTAAGGGTTAATTGCTGTTGGAAAATGAGCATTCAGTTAGTGTAGAACACCTCCAAGAATATAATAAAATTCATTCCCAATTTGTGGTACTCGGTTTTCAATACTTTTTACTTCATTACAATGTCTGCCAGGTTTTGTATAATGAGTATGTGAGATCATTAACTGAACGTGATGTTCTGACTGCTTTTAAATTTCTGCAAGATGGCAGGAGGCAGTCACTGACTTTTTTCTTTTGTGGAAAAACTCACCCGACTTCTTTCTGTTGCCTGTAGCTTTCTTGACATACCTGAATGATGGCTGTTTCATCACTAGAGCACATAGAGTAGAGTTGCTCAATTTGGGAGTTGGTACTTTTAGATGCACAGCTCTCTTATCTGGTTTTTCAAGAGTTATTTTTGGCTTTAGCAAAATATAGTCTGTCCGTGGGAGGCTTTATAACACTAACTTTAATTAAACTTCAGTAAAGGATCACTTTTCCTATGATAAGCTTTCTCCTGCTCCCTACCCCACATAAGCCAAACCCTCTGCTCCCCTCCTAAGCCCGTACCCCCTCCCAGACTCTGTACTACAATCCCCTCTGGCCTAGGTTACAACCCAAACCCCTGCAAAGTAATCCCCTATATCATTACCCAAACTCCTGCTCCCCCTCCTACACCCCAGTTCTCTGCCCTAGGACAAACCCCCCGCCCCCCTCCTGCCCTATGTCACAACCCAAAACCCTGCACCGCAATCCCATGCCCCAGGTCACAACTTCACCCAAACTCCCTCCCAGATCTCACTGTGTGTCTAGTTTCCTAAGTACTGAATACACCACAGTTGGCTTTTTAGTGATAAAAACAATCATCTGGCAGGTGCCAAGAGTTAAACTTGATTCAGTATTGGTAAATCATTGGGGCACAAGTGA